TTTAAGATTTAAAGTTTCTTAGGGTTTCTTTGTTTAGGATTTAGGGCTTCGGATTTTACGTTAATATGCTTATAATATGCCAACTCAATTTTAGCTTGGGGTCACTCGTGATCATAGGTCTCTTGTTACGTTAAATGGCTAACCTCGGGGAGTGACAAAAACAATGTATGAATAAAAGCCTCTAACTGACTAGAGATGCTGGGACATGCCCCAGTTAACTTTAGCAAAACGCAAACTAAAATGAAAGACTAAATATAAAACATGTAAATCTTCGTCAAAAAACAAGGACTCACCACTGATATTGCTGAATATGGATCGGGAACCAATCTCCGCGTGATCTGAATGCTAAGGACCTGAACCTACATCAAGAGAAGATGTAGCGTAGACTATGTATCAGTAGTTGTACGATTCTGAGCATGCATGACATGATAAAGCTAAATAAATATATATAACTGAATAAATCATATTGAACAATAATATAATCTGAACATGATTAAGAAGAGTTTAGGTATTTGGTTAAGGGTTTTTAGGTTAGGGTTTAGAGCTTAAGTTTTTCTAAAAAAATTTGGTCAATAGTTTTTTTCAATTTAGGATTGTTAAAGATTTTTTAGGATCATTATTGTTTTTACGATATATGAGCTCTAAGGGCTTAGGACTTGGGGTTTTAGATTAAGGAATTTTTTTAGGGTTTTTAAGATTTGTTTTCGGGATTTTTAGTTTTAGGATTTTAAAGGTTTTTAGTGTTTAGCTTTTCTTAGGGTTTACGATTTCTTAGGGTTTAGGGCTTCTTTGAGTTTCATAAGGCTTAGGGTTGGGGGTTTATCCCTAAGGTTTAGGGTTTGGGATTCTTAGGGTTTTAGTTTAACATTTAAGGTCTCCTAGGTTTTTTTGGGTCATTTAGGGTGTAGGGTTTTGTGTTTAGGTTTAGGGTTTTTCTATGGTTTAGGGTTAAGGTTTGTTAGGTTTAAGATTTTTTAGAGGTTTTTTAGGTTTTAATGTTTTTTAAGTTTTTCTTTGTTGTTATTTAGGGTTTTGGGTTTCTTAGTGCTTTTTTGGGGTTTTCTTAGGGTTTGGGTTTTGGGCTTATGATATTTAAGGATTTAGGTTTCAAGGTTTAGAGTTAGGGATTACTGGTTCTTTAGGTTTAGGGGTTTTAATGTTTTTTTTTAGGTGTTTTAAAGTTTAGGTTTTCTTAGTGATTTTTAGGGTTTAGGTTTTCTTAGTGATTTTTACGGTTTAGGTTTTCTTGGTGATTTATTAGGATTTAGGGTTTAGGATCATAGGTTTTCGGGTATTAGGGTTTATAAGGTTTTAAGATTTAGAGTTTCATAGGGTTTCTTGGTTTAGGATTTAGGGCTTCGGAAGTTTGGTTAAGAGTTTTTTAGAGTTTATGGTTTTTTTTATGATTAAGGTTTTTATATGATTTAGGGTTTCTTAGGTATTTTTAAGAATTTGGATTTCTTAAGATTTAGGGTTACATAGGCCTAATATAAGGCATAGGATTTTAAGTTTAGGGTTTTTTCTAGGGATTATGGTTTTAAAGTGTTTTTTTTCCGGGTATTATAGTTGTAGGTGTATAAATGGATTTTAGGGTTTAGGGTTTCTTAGGATTCCATATGGTTTGGGGTTTAAGGTTTAGCCCTATGATTTAGAGTTAAGGATTTAGAGTTTCTTAGGGTATATTATTTAGCATTTAGTATTTCTTAGGGTTTGGTTTTTTAAAGGGTTTTTAGGATTTAGGGTTTTAGGTTTACGATTTTCTAGTATTTTATTAAGTTTAGAGGAATTTTTAGGTTTAGGATTTGAAGGTGTTTTGGATTTCTATGGTTTTTTAACTATTAAGGGGTTCTTAGATCTTAGGCGATTTATAGGGTCTAGGATTTTAAAAAGTTTAGGGCTTTTAATGTTTTTTAGGGTTTTTTTTATTTCTTAAAGTTTAGGGTTTCTGAGGGTTTAGCCCTAAGGTTTAGGCGGAAGGGTTTAGGGTTTCTTTGGGTATAAGGTCAAAGTTTTTATTTAAGGGTTTTAAAGGTTTAGGGCTTAAGTTTTTGTTGAATTTTTTAGGTTCAGAGTTTTTTAAGGTTTAGGATTTTAAAAGGGGTTTTCAAGATTGTTATGGATTTTTACTGTTTAGGGGTTCTTACGGTTTAGGGTTTCTTTGGGTTTAGGGCTTAGGATTTTAAATTTTGAATTTTTAGGGGTTAGGGATTTTAAGGGTGTTTTCAGGTTTAGTGTTTTTAAAGGTTTTTTTTAGGCTTTAGGGTTTGATGGTGTTTCATAAGTCTTGCAGTTTCCCTAAGGTTTAGGGTTTAGTATTTATTAGGGTAGGGTTTCTTAGGGATTTTAGATTTCTTAGGTATAGGCTTTTAATGGTGTTGATCTAATATGCTTATGATATGCCAACTCAAGGTTAGCTTGGGGTCACTCGTGATCCTAGGTCTCGTGTTACGTCAAGTGGGTAACCTCGGGGAGTGAGAAAAACAATGTATGAATAAAAGCCTCTAACTGACTAGAGATGCTGGGACATGCCCCCAGCTAGCTCTAGTAAAACCGAAACTAAAACGAAAGACTGAATAAAAAACATGTAAATCGTCCTCGAATAACGAGGACTCACCACTGATATTGCTAAATACGGATCGGGAACCGATCTTCTCTTGATCTGAATGATAAGGACCTGAACCTATATCAAGAGAACATGTAGCGTAGACTATGTATCAGTAGTTGAACGATTCTGAGCATGCATGACATGATAAAGCTGAACAAATATATATAACTGAATAGAGCATATTGAACAATGATATAATCTGAACATGATTAAGAAGAGTTTAGGTATTTCGCTAACGGTTTTTAGGTTAGGGTTTACAGCTTAAGTTTTTCTAAAAAAAATCGGTCAAGAGTATTTTTCTATTTAGTTGTTAAAGATTTTGTAGGATCATTATTGTTTTTACGATATATGAGCTCTAAGGGCTTAGGACTTGGGGTTTTAGATTAAGAATTTTTTTTAGGGTTTTTAAGATTTGTTTTCGGGATTTTTAGTTTTAAGGTTTTTTAGTGTTTAGCGTTTCTTAGGATTTAGGATTTCTTACGGTTTTGGGCTTCTTAGAATTTCTTAAGGCTTAGGTTTGGGGGTATATCCCTAAGGTTTAGGGTTTAAGTTTCTTAGGATTTGAGTTTAACATTTAAGGTCTCCTACGTTTTTTTTGGGTCATTAAGGGATTAGTGTTTAGGTTTTAAAGGTTTTTATTGTTTAGCTTTTCTTAGGATTTAGGATTTCTTAGGATTTAGGGCTTCTTATAGTTTCATAAGGCTTAGGGTTGGGGGTCTTTCCCTAAGGTTTAGGGTTTGGGTTTCTTAGGGTTTGAGTTTAACATTTAAGGTCTCCTAGGTTTTTTTTGGGTCATTTAGGGTGTAGGGTTTAGTGTTTAGGTTTAGGGTTTTTCTATGGTTTAGGGTTTAGGTTTGTTAGGTTTAAGATTTTTTAGAGGTTTTCTAGGTTTTAATGTATTTTAAGATTTTCTTTGTTGTTTTTTAGGGTTTTGGTTTTCTTAGTGCTTTTTTGGGTTTAAGGTTTGGGGTTTTCTTAGGGTTTGGGTTTTGGGCTTATGATATTTAAGGGTTTAGGGTTCAAGGTTTATAATTTGGGATTTATGGTTCTTTAGCTTTAGGGGTTTTAAAGTTTTTTTTTAGGTTTTAGGGTATTAGGGTTTATAAGGGTTTAAGATTTAGAGTTTCTTAGGGTTTCTTTGGGTATAAGGTCTAAGTTCTTATTTAAGGGTTTTTAAGGTTTAGGGCTTATGTTTTTGTTGAATATTTTAGGTTCAGAGGTTTTTTGGGTTTAGGATTTTAAAAGGGGTTTTCAAGATTGTTATGATTTTTTACTCTTTAGGGATTCTTACGGCTTAGGGTTTCTTTGGGTTTAGGGCTTAGCATTTTAAATTTTAAGTTTTTAGGGGTTAGGGATTTTAACGGTTTTTTAGGTTTAGTGTTTTTAAAGGTGTTTTTAGGCTTTAGGGTTTGATTGTGTTTCATAAGTCTTGGGGTTTCCCTAAGGTTTAGGGTTTAGGGTTTAGTGTTTCTTAGGGTAGGGTTTCTTAGGGATTTCAGATTTCTTAGGTTTAGGCTTTTAAAGGTGTTGATCTAATATGCTTATGATATGCCAACTCAAGGTTAGCTTGGGGTCACTTGTGATCCTAGATCTCGTGTTACGTCAGGTGGGCAACCTCGGGGAATGACAAAAACAATGTATTAATAAAATCCGCTAACTGACTAGAGATGCTGGGACATGCCCCCAGCTAACTCTAGCAAAACTGAAACTAAAATGAAAGACTAAATATAAAACATGTAAATCGTCCTCGAAAAATAAGGACTCACCACTGATATTGCTGAATACGGATCGGGGATCGATCTCCGCGTGATTTGAATGCTAAGGACTTGAACCTACATCAAGAGAACATGTAGCGTAGACTATGTATCAGTAGTTGAACGATTCTGAGCATGCATGACATGATAAAGTTGAACAAATATATATAACTGAATTGAGCATATTGAACAATGATATAATCTGCACATGATTAAGAAGAGTTTAGGTATTTGGTTCAGGGTTTTTAGGTTAGGGTTTAGAGCTTAAGTTTTTCTAAAAAAATATTGGTCAAGAGTTCTTTTCAATTTAGGATTGTTAAAGATTATTTTGAATTATTATTGTTTTTACGATATATGACCTCTGAGGGCTTAGGACTTGGGGTTTTAGATTGAGGAATTTTTTTAGGGTTTTTAAGATTTGTTTTCGGGATTTTTAGTTTTAGGGTTTTAAAGGTTTTTGCTGTTTAGCTTTTCTTAGGATTTAGGATTTCTTAGGGTTTAGGGCTTCTTTGAGTTTCATAAGGCTTACGGTTGGGGGTTTATCCCTAAGGTTTAGGGTTTGGGTTTCTTACGGTTTGAGTTTAACATTTAAAGTCTCCTAGGTTTTTTTGGGTCATTTAGGGTGTAGGGTTGATAACAACATGGATAGCAAGGATCGCGTAAAAGCATTAGAGGAGCTTGATGGACACAAAATCAAGCAGTACAATGTGTGGAAGGTCCATCTAAGTGAAGAGAAAGAAGAAAGAGGTCATTTGTGCAAATGGTCATCTCATAATTTCAAGAATTCACAAAAGAAGACAACCAAACAAGGCCCTTACCTCATTTAGGGTAAAATTGTCAAAGAAGTGTCTTCTTTAACCTTGATTTCACTTGAGATTTCTCATTTGTGGTTTTCAATTAGAGTTGTTTTTTTTTCGAATTCAAGTTTCTCTTCTTCCTTGGTTGATTGTTTATATTACCTTTCTTTCTTCTTTTCTCATCTCTTATTTCTCATCTATCTTACTTTTTTGTTGTTTCATTCCACATTTGATTTCAATTGGTTTCATCCCCAATTGGAACCCTTATCAGAGCGGCTGGCACGCGGATACGTGTTTTCCTTAATTTGGACCCTCCATCATTCACCGAGATAGATCCTAATAAAAATCCACAAGACTTTATAGATCAGATCCAACGCACTTTCCATGTTATGCATGTAAGTGGTAAAGAAGTGCTCGAGCTAGCAACATATAGATTAAAGTGGTTATATTGTGGTATGAAGCTTGGAAGCAATCCAAGGGAACAGATGCACCTTCAGCTATATGGAAAGAGTTCAAAATGGCATTCCTTGACCTGCCATTGGAGATCCGAGAGGCCTGTGCGGATCAGTTCATAAATCTCCACCAAGGAAGTATGAGCGTGAGAGAGTACAGTCTCAAATTTAATTCCTTGGCCAGGTATGCTCCTAATGTAATTGCTACTATGGGGGATAAAGTTCATCGATATGTGGATAGATTAGATTCATATCTGGTTAGAGACTACCCATTGCTTCATTGAATAAAGATATGGCTATAGCAAGGATGCAAGCTTTTGCGCAAAAGTTAGAGGATCAAAGGCAAAGAAGAAGGACACAAGAGTCAGAAACAGGGCATTTTAAGATGGCCAGATCTATGGGGTAGTTTACACCATCCCAAGGTGAGTTTAGGCCTCGGTTCATTAACAGACCGTCTAGGCCATCATCTTCCTACTCTACAGCTAGTGCCCCACCTCAATTTCAAGAGTCTAGGGGCAATCAGTTTCGGCAAAGAGGTAAAAGCCAAGGTTCACGAACAGCGGGATACCAAGAGCAGGGAATTATGAGCCTATCAAGACCTCCTCGAGAGTTTTGTAAACAATGTGGAAGGAATCATTTAGGAGCATGTCGGTTTGGGACAAATGCTTGTTTTTGGTGTGGTACACCGGGTCATATGATGAGAAATTGCCCTCATAGGGGTGTGGGTGGTGTGGCACAACCTACTAGGTCAGTTGTTGCATCCTCGTCATCAACACCTTCTTTAGGTAGAGGACAGATGCCTACTGGTCATGGTAGAGGAGCTAGGGGAGCAGCTAGTTCTAGTGGAGTTCAGAATCGCACATATGCTCACGGGGATCGACAAAATTTGGAAGCCTCGTCGGATGTGGTTACAGGTACATTGTCCATCTTTTTACATATTGTATATGTATTAATTGATCTGGGGTCTACACTATCATATGTTAGTCCATTGATTGCTGAAAAGTTCAAAAGAACACCAGAATTATTAGTGAAGCCATTTGAGTGTCTACACCGATTGGTGACTCTATTATAGCTAGAAGGGTTTATCGTAATTGCATTGTAACTGTTTGTGATCGTGATACGTTGGCTGACCTTGTTGAGCTAGAAATGGTGGATTTTGATGTTATAATGGGTATGGATTTGTTAGCTTCTTGTTATGCCATGGTAGATTGCCGAACGAAGACGCTGCATTTCCATCTTCCAAAAGAGGCCGTTCTTGAATGGAAAGGTAATATTGGGACACCAAGAGGTAAATTTATTTCCTATTTTAAGGAAAAGAAGATGATGTCCAAAGGATACATATGTTATCTAGTGAGAGTGAGAAATATAGATGCGGAGCCACCAACTCTTTAATCCATTCCAGTGGTAAATCAATATCCCGATGTATTTCCTGAAGATCTTCCGGGTTTGCCTCCAGAACAAGAAATAGAGTTTGGTATTGACGTGATTCTAGATACTCAACCTATATCCATCCCTCCATATAGAATGGCCCCCACAGAATTACGGGAGTTGAAGGAGCAATTAAAAGACTTATTAGAAAAAGGATTCATAAGGCTTAAGTATGTCCCAATGGGGAGCACCAGTTTTATTTGTACGCAAGAAAGATGGCTCGTTAAGAATGTGTATCGATTACCGGCAGTTGAATAAGGTAACGATTAAGAACAAATATCCCCTCCCTAGAATTGATGATTTGTTTGATTAGTTACAAGGTGCTAGGTGTTTTTCAAAAATTGACCTGAGGTCGGGTTATCACCAAGTGAGGGTCAAAGACGAAGATATACCCAAGAAAGCTTTCCGAACACGATATGGTCATTTTGAGTTTGTAGTCATGTCATTCGGGCTAACGAATGCACCAGCAGTCTTTATGGATTTGATGAATAGGGTGTTCAAGCCATTTTTAGATGTGTTTGTGATAGTATTCATAGATGACATTTTGGTGTATTTAAGATCGTAAGTTGTATGCAAAGTTCTCTAAATGTGAGTTCTGGTTAAAATCTGTGGCATTCCTAGGTCATGTTGTATTCAATGAAGGAATAAGGGTTGATAATAAGAAGATAAAAGCGGTGAAAAACTGGCCAAGACCTACAATGCCTACGGAGAAGATGGCTGGAGCTATTAAAAGATTATGACATTGATATCTTCTATCATCCCGAGAAAGCAAATATAGTAGCTGATGCGTTAAGTCGTAAAATAATGGCAAGCAGGTTATGGGCAGTCTGTGGAAAGACAAGGAATAACTAAGGATCAATGTCAACTAGCTAGCTTGGTGGTTCGGTTTCTTGAATCTCTTGACAAAGGGGTTATTGTGCAAAATGCAGCAGAATCCTCATTAGTAGTAGAAGTGAAAGAGAAGCAGTACACTGATCCTATTCTATTAAAGCTTAAGGAGAATGTACAACAGGGTATGACAAAGGCATTTGAACTTACGCAAGAGGGAGTACTACGATGTCAAAACATATTGTGTGTACCTAATGTAGAAGAATTAAGAAAGAGGATTATGATGGAAGTGCATCATTCGATATATTTTGTCCATCCGGGGTCAACTAAAATGTATCATGACTTAAAAGGAATGTATTGGTGGGGGGACATGAAGAAGAACATTGCGATATTCGTGGCTCAATGTCCAAATTGTCGACAAGTGAAAGTAGAGCACCAAAAGCCCGGAGGTTATATGCAGTGGATAGAACTTCCAATTTGGAAGTGGGATATGATCAATATGGATTTTGTCACTAGTTTGCCTCGTTCATTTCGGAAGTTTGATTCTATATGGGTAATTGTTGATAGACTGACCAAATCAGCGCACTTCTTGCCGGTCAAGACTACTTATACAGTTGAGGAATATGCAAGGTTGTATATTAAAGAGATAGTTCGTCTACATAGAGTGCAAATCTCTATTATATCTGATAGGGGATCTCAATTCACTGCAAATTTTTGGAAGTCATTTCAGAAGAGTTTAGGAACACCAGTGAATTTAAGTAAAACCTTTCACCCTCAAACAGATGGTCAGGCAGAGCGTACAATTCAAACACTCGAGGATATGCTGCGAGCTTGTATATAGCAGACTTCAAAGGTAGTTGGGATGATCATTTGCCATTGATCTAGTTTGTATACAACAATAGCTACCATTCAAGTATTAAAATGGCACCTTATGAAGCTTTATATGGTAGAAAATGTAGATCACAATTGCTTGGTTCGAAAAAGGTGAAACCACCTTATTTGGGCCAAATCTTGTTCATCAAGCTATGGAAAAAGTCAAAGTGATATAGCAGCGGCTAGAAACAGCTCAAAGTCGAAATAAATCATATGCGGATGTTAGAAGGAGAGGACTAGAATTTTCTATAGGGGATTGGGTGTTCTTGAAGGTGTCACCAATGAAAGGGGTAATGAGGTTTGGTAAAAAAGGAAAATTGAGTCCACGCTATATAGGGCCATATAAGATTATTCGAAGAGTTGGCCAAGTAGCCTATGAGTTAGAGCTACCACAAGAGCTTTCATTAGTTCATCCGGTGTTTCATGTCTCTATGTTTCGGAAATGCATAGGTGACCCATGTCATATTACTCCTACTGAAGATGTACAGGTTACGAGAGATCTCACTTATGAAGAAGTACCCATTGCTATTCTGGATCGACAAGTTAGGAAGTTAAGAAATAAAGAAGTAGCTTATGTAAAAGTATTATGGAGGAACCAACAAGTAGAAGACGTTACATGGGAAGTGGAAGAAGCAATGAAATTGAAGTATCCTCATCTCTTTCAGATCCATGAGAAGGATGAAAATGCTTAGTCTAGACGCTCACAAGTAAGTATAAGTCTATTTGTATTATGTGATTAATAGTAGCACTAACTTAGGCTTGAACTTGTTTGGGCTGGATAACCATGCTAACTTTCGAGGACGAATGATTTTAAGGGGGAAAGAATGTAACAACCTGTATTATGCGTATGCTAGTTCTATTCACGTGATACTTGACACAGCCTTATAGTATAGGTGAGGGACCGTGATTCTTATATGATTAGTGTTGGTTTAAAGTAGCTCGCAAGGTGATGTAACACCTTGCACGTTTCAGCATGTGTAATGCAAGTTAGCTCCAACAGAAGTATTTAAACTAGAGGTAGTAAAGTGGTAATTGGGTCAAATGCACTACCACCTACTTGCATTAATTTGGCCCAAGTTGAGTAGAAGGATAAGGGAAAAATGGACAGCCAAGGCCCAATAGTCTTAAGTCCAAAAAAAAAAAAGCCCAAGTTAAAAGGCCAAGTAGGTAGGTCACCTACTTGACAATATTTGACCAAAATTAGTCAAGAAATTCGGCCATTACACTTCCTTTTTAAAGGGATAAAGATCAGATCTTTTGCTTCATTTTTAACTTGCAAAATTTTCAGATTTCTTAAGTTTTTCTCTTGGTCTCTCTTGGCTTCAATCAGCAGCCCTAGAAAATCTTGGGTCCTTGAATATTGCCCCATTTTCAAGTAAAAGTTTGAAAGAGAGTTTCAGTTCTTGGTGTACAAGTTTAGAAGATAAATTCCTAGAAACTAAGGTAAGACTACTGCCCATTTTTGCCTCTCTTTAAATACAGATTTGGGGTGGAGAATTTTGTATATATTTATCAAGAACTAATGGATGGTGATAAATCTTTGAGTCAATATTCTCCTATTATGCTGAAAGATTTTTAGGGATTGATAGTAGCTGCCTTATGTATATTGTTGTTGGGGGCTGTTTGGGTATCTTGGAAAAGGATGTATGAAGTTGTATTAATGTACAGAAGAAGGGTGTGGTGGTTCACCATTGGTGCAAGGGTTGTATGGGCCTACTTTCCGTCAAGTGTTAGCTACTGTTTTTAGGGCCTTAATGTGATTAGCTGCTGACATTAGCTTAATTGTGACTTATATTATAGATTAGCATCCAAGAAGGGAGACTGAATTGTGACAGTCGTATTAGTCAGAAAATAAGGTATGTAGGGCAATTCGATTCCATATTCCTTGGCATGAAATCTGATACTTGCGATTAATGTCAATAAGTGAATTTCCTAAGTTCTATTCCTAGTAAAGGAAACATAGTGGCAACGTACGATATCCAAATAGCTAACTATATCCCCCCTCCTAAGTGTACATAATTACTTAATTACACGTTCAATACTCTATAGTCAATTGAAGCAATTGTGTCATTCAAGCTCTCAAGTAATGCATTAATGTTACATAGCTCCTTATATTGTAGCTACTGCCCTAAAGTATTATTTTCATGTCTCCTACTACTGTTCCGTATTTCCAAATCTCAAAAATGATTGTGACCACCAAAACAACAATCTCAAAGATTAAAGAATCTAAATGAAGAAATTTGTATAACTATGGGTGGCAGCTCAAGGGAGAAAGCCTAGCATAGGCCGATCCCAATGGGTATAGAAGGGTGGCAGCTCAGGGGCGAAAGCCTAGCATGGGCCGATCCCGATTTGTGCAATGTTGAGGACCGCATCCTAGGGGTTAAAATGCCTAGCATGGCCATGCTCTTCTACCACTGATCAGCTGGTCATTCGTATCACATGCCTTATAAAGATCATAACACACATAAAGGTAAAGACAAAACAAATGTAGCATACATGACCCCACAAGAGTTCTGTCACAGAGGAAGCCTCCTATTCTGATTTATGCACTTATACGTTGATATCTGGTTTCGTTTGAGCTCTTATTTTATATATGTAGTTGCCTTATATATTCAGTACACTTTTCGTACTGACGTCTCTCGCGGGGGGACACTGTGTTTCATGCTGCAGGAAAAGGTACTTCCGCTAGTAGACCTCCTCAGTAGGAGCATACGATACTCAGCTACTTTTGGTAAGCTCCAGGTTGCTTCGGAGCTTTACTGAGCCCTTGGTAGATTCATTTTGGTATTGTATCGTAGTTAGGGGTAAGGCGGGGTCTGTCCCGACCTACTCTAAGGGTTTCTATCTTTTAGAGGCTTTGTAGACTTATATATACGGTTCAGTTGCATCTTAACAAGTTGTGGCCTCAATGGCCAACTCTTGTATATAAGTTTTGGGTCTACTTATGTCGGTTCATATCGCTGCGTCCCTGGCGAACTTGTCACAAAACTTTCATAGTTACATGCATAGTAAGCACAAGTCACATGTTGGTTCTCTCGGGCCTTTAGGGCATCGAGTGCCTGTCCGTCTTAATGGGATTTGAGGCGTGATAAGTTAAACATTTAAAACCCTAAAACTAAAAATCCCGAAAAGAAACCTTAAAAACCCTAAAAAAATTCCTTAATCTAAAACCCCAAGTCCTAAGCCCTTAGAAGCTTATATATCGTAAAAACAATAATGATCCTAAAAAATCTTTAACAATCCTAAATTGAAAAAAACTCTTGATCGAATTTTTTTTAGAAAACCTTAAGCTCTAAACCCTAACCTAAAAACCCTTAGCCAAATACCTAAACTCTTCTTAATCATGTCCAAATTATATCATTGTTCAATATGCTCTATTCAGTTATATATATTTGTTCAGCTTTATCATGTCATGCATACTTAGAATCTTTCAACTACTGATACATAGTAGACGCTACATCTTTTCTTGATATAGGTTCAGGTCCTTACCATTCAGATCACGCGGAGATCGGCTCCCGCTCCGTATTCACCAATATCAATCGTGAGTTCACATTTTTCGAGGACGATTTACATGTTTTACATTCAGTCTTTCATTTTAGTTTCAGTTTTGCTAGAGTTAGCTGGGGCATGTCCCAGCATTCTAGTCAGTTAGACGCTTTTATTCATACATTTTTTTGTCACTCCCCGAGGTTACCCACTTGACGTAACACGAGACCTAGGATCACGAGTGACCCCAAGCTAACCTTGAGTTGGCATATCATAAGCATATTAGATCAACACCTTTAAAAGCCTATTCCTATGAAATCTGAAATCCCTAAGAAGCCTTACCCTAAGAAACACTAAACCCTAAACCTTAGGGAAACCCCAAGACTTATGAAACACCATCAAACCCTAAAGCCTAAAAACACCTTTAGAAACACTAAACCTAAAAACACCCTTAAAATCCCTAACCCCTGAAAACTCTAAATTGAAAATCATAACAATCTTGAAAACCCCTTTTAAAATCCTAAACCTAAAAAAACTCTGAACCTAAAAAATTCAACAAAAACTTAAGCCCTAAACCTTAAAAACCCTTAAATAAAAACTAAGACCTTATACCAAAAGAAACCCTAAACCCTTCCGCCTAAACCTTAGGGCTAAACCCTAAGAAACCTTAAACTTTAAGAAATAAAAAAAACCCTAAAAAACTTTTAAAGCCCTAAACTTTAAAAAACCCAAAACCCTAAAAACCCTATAAATCCCCTAAGATCTAAGAACCCTTAATCGTTAAAAAACCATAGAAATCCTAAACACCTTCAAACCCTAAACCTAAAAATTCCTCCAAACCTAATAAAACACTAGAAAATCTTAAGCCCAAAACCCTAAATCCTAAAAACCCTTAAAAAAACCAAACCCTAAGAAATCCTAAACGCTAAATAATATATCCTAAGAAACTCCGAATCCTTAACTCTAAATCATAGGGCTAAACCTTAAACCCCAAACCATATGGAATCCTAAGAAACCCTAAACCCTAAAATCCATTTAAAAACCTACAACTATAATACCCGGAAAAAAAACCCTTTAAAACCGTAAGCCGTAGAAAAAACCCTAAACTTAAAATCCTATGCCCTATATTAGGCCTACGTAACCCTAAATCTTAAGAAATCCAAATTCTTACAAATACCTAAGAAACCATAAAACATTTTAAAACCTTAATCATAAAAATCATAAACATAAAAAAACCATAAACTCTTATAAACTCTTAACCTAAAATCCGAAGCCATAAATCCTAAACCAAGAAACCCTAAGAAACTCTAAATTGTAAACCCTTATAAACCCTAATACCCTAAACCTATGATCCGCAACCCTAAATCTTAAAAAATCACAAAGAAAACCTAAACCCTAAAAAACCTAAAAAAAAACTTTAAAACCCATAAACCTAAAGAATCATAAATCCCAAATTCTAAACCTTGAACCCTAAACCCTTAAAAATGATAAGCCCAAAACCCAAACTCAAAGAAAACTTAAAAAACATTAAAACCTAGAGAACCTCTAAAAAATCTTAACCTAACAAACCTAAACCCTATTCTAGAAAAACCCTAAACCTACAACACTAAACCCTACACCCAAAATGACCCAAAAAAAACCTAGGAGACCTTAAATGTTCAATTCCAACCCTAAGCCTTATGAAACTCTATGAAGCCATAAACCCTAAGAAATCCTAAGAAAAACTAAACACTAAAAAACTACAAAAAAAACTTTAAAAACACTGAACCTAAAAAATCTTAAACCTAACAAACCTAAACCCTAAACCATAGAAAAACCCTAAACCTAAAACACTAAACCCTAAACCTTACACCCTAAATGACCCAAAAAACCAAGGTGCCCTTAAATGTTATACTCAAACCCTAAGAAAACTAAACCCTAAACCGTAGGGAAAACTCCCTAACCCTATGCCTTATGAAACTCTAAGAAGCCCTAAACCCTAACAAAAGTAAACAATAAAAACCTTTAAAACCCTAAAACTAAAAATCCCGTAAACAAACATTTAAAAAAATTCCTTAATCTAAAACCCTAAGTCCTAAGTCCTAAGCCCTTAGAACTCAGGTATCGTAAAAACAATAATGATCCTAAAAAATCTTTAACAATCCTAGATTGAAAAAAACTCTTGACCTAAAATAATCCTAGAAAAACATAAGGTCTAAACCCT